AATATTTATTTATTTATTTATTTATTTTTTTGCAATCGCCTCACCAGAGTATTTTCAAAGCATTTTGATTACCATTATATGCAAAATCTCTTTTTTTCTTAGCTGAAGAGTTTAACAAAACAAGATTTTCTTTTTCTTAGCTGAAGCTGTTAACAAAAACTTTATCTGCTTTGGCCTCAGTTTAACCCCTTCCCCCTCCCAATGGGAAAAGAGAGAAAAATAAAGAGGACAAACATTTGAGTTGACCTTGAAATTCATGAATAAATGTTGGGATTTATGCGGGCATGTAGGGGCATCCAAGCTTTGCAGTTGGTCTGAAATGAATTTTGCTGGACTTGTGATTACTTTAATAGATAACTTTTCTAAGTTAAACTTGAAATTGCCTATTGCTGATTATGTTCTTCTGGGTTTTCTTAGCCATTCTGGAAAGTTACTGCAGATGGTTCTTCCAAAGGAAATGGTGTTGTTGGTATGTATTTTAAGTTCTATTCAGACTCACTCTACCCATTACGACGATGATGTACTCAATTGCCCTTGACTCAGGTGTTCTGGAAGCAAATTTCATAGAACCTGCACATGACAAGCAAGATTTTGAAAGATCATCTCTGTTTTTCAAGCTGGAGACTAGGCTAAAGCAAATGGTGATGGACTACTGGTATGTTCTATACCGTAATTTCAGATATTTAACAGGAGTTAATTATCTTTTTGTGTGTTCAGTTATGTAAATTTGTTGGTCATATTTTCAATTCCTGTTGGTTTATTTTTTCCCTCCTTTTTTCTGGATGAAATGGGGGCTGTGGAAAGAGAGGTTCTGCTTGTACTTTGTTGTGTGCATTTGCAAGTCTGAGTACTACATAAATCAACTAAGCTTTACCAGTTCAAATGTAATTTCAATGTAGTACATAAATATACTTTTTGATTGAAAGGGGAAACAGATGTAGTTCAGTGGTAATTATGCCTTCAATTCGCGAGTGGGCTGTCAAAGGGTGGCTTGTTTTGAAGAACTTGTACTGCAAAATGTAAATAGCAACTAATTATCATAGTTTAAGTTCGGTCGGGACCCACCGTTGCGGACCGCGAGGGGTGCCTAACACCTTCCCCTCAAGGTTATTTCGAGCTCTTACCCTAATCTCTGGTAATACAAACTAGTCTAAGAGTTAATTGCTCTAGGTGCCCTAACGCACCATAATCCGTTAGGTGGCGACTCTTCAAACACCCAATTATAATTTCAATGTAGTACATAAATATACTTTTTGATTGAAAGGGGAAACAGATGTAGTTCAGTGGTAATTATGCCTTCAATTCGCGAGTGGGCTGTCAAAGGGTGGCTTGTTTTGAAGAACTTGTACTGCAAAATGTAAAATAGCAAATAATTAAACATGTAATTCTGACCTCGCGTCTGACTTCAGATGGTTCTGATTCATTTTGTTGGCTAATCTGAGTAATATTCAAATGGGCTCATGCTGAGAGATTTAGAGCCCGTTTGGACATAAGATTTTTCACTTTTTTCCAAAATAAGTGTCTGGCCATAAAATTTCCAATTTTCACTTGAAGATGAATTTTGGAATTTCTCGAAAATTTGAAAAACTCCAAAAAGCTGTTTTACAAAATTTTCACTTAGATCACTCACAAAACTTAAAAAACAACCCAAAATTATATTCATGTCCAAACACAACTCTAATTTTCAAATAGCATTTTCACTTGAATTTTTTTTTCCACTTTTTTTTGGAATTTTAAATTCTTATGCCCAAACGCCCACTTAAAATGTTAAACTAATAGAGATCTAGTAATTCTCACTTTTTCTTTAAAACTCTCTCATAGTCAAACCCTGCTTCAAGTCATGAGCTAGCTATAGCACATGTAGCCAGTCTTGATTGTCAGTGCTCCTGCCAAGATTATACCCTCTTGATCTTGCTTACTGAGAAAATACAATTAAACGTTCCATCAGATAAAAAGGGGGTGGGGTAGAGGTTATACTTTATTTTTCCAGCTTAAGGTATCCTTGGCTGTACTTTTCTCCTCTATTTTTTTTTGATAGGTAGCTGAAAGAATTTTATTGATGTAAAGAGGGGACCAACTTTAAGAAAAAGTTGGATAGGAGTACATCTAAATAACTTTACAGAGAGGGTAAAGAACTAAGAAACTCAGCCAACACCTCCGACTCTAAAACATTTGTCGAGGTTATGCTGCACCAAAAATTAAGCAAAAATATACATTTGTGCTTTAGATTAACTACATTGTCCTTTTTGATATCAAAAACTCTAGCATTTCTCTCCATACGACCCACCAAACTACTGCTGGGATAGACTTCCAGATGTAACCCGACGCTTTATGCATATCCTGTTTGTGCCATGAGAGGAGAAAATCAACCGTGGTCCTAGGCATGCACCATTTGATACCAACATGACACAAAATAAAAGGTCAAATCTGACTAGTGAAGCTGCAATGCAGAAATAAGTGGTTCACATCTTCCCAATCCCTTCCGCGTAGCGAGCAACAATTACAAAGTATTTTGCCTTTCTTTTGCAAGTTGTCCAGAGTAAGGCATTTTCCATGAGCTACCAACCAAGCAAAATTTCTGACTTTGTGAGGTGCCTTACTTTCCAAATAGCCTTCCAAGGCCAAAGGGATTGTGAAGGTGTATCGATAAGAGTGTGATAGCAGCTTCGAACGGAGAAGAGACCTTTAGAGTTGGAATTCCAAAGTATTTTGCCTTTCTTTTGCAAGTTGTCCAGAGAAAGGCATTTTCCATGAGCTACCAACCAAGCAAAATTTCTGACTTTGTGAGGTGCCTTACTTTCCAATAGCCTTCCAAGGCCAAAGGGATTGTGAAGGTGTATCGATAAGAGTGTGATAGCAGCTTCGAACGGAGAAGAGACCTTTAGAGTTGGAATTCCAGAAAAGAGTCTGAATTTGAGCCCAGAGGAAGAGAAGTGTTGAGTAGCTCCAAAAGCCGTGAGAATTCTTCAACTTCCCAGTCATTAAAGTTCCTTCTGAAGGGGATGAACCACCCTTGGTTCTGCCATGAATCTGCTGTGGACAAGAGAGGGCTAGAAGCTAGTTTGAAAAGAAAAGGGAACAAATCCTTCAGAGAAGAATGGCCAAGCCATGCATCATGCCAAAAATAATTTTCCTTCCATTACCCACCCTGAATGAAGAGTGATCCCCCAGCAAATCCCATAGAGCTCTAATATGTTTCCAGACTCCGAGGCCAAGAGGTGGAGAAAGGATGTTAGTAGTCCACGCTGAAGATAAACCATATTTAGAGCAAATAACAGATTTCCAGAGGGGTTCTTCTTCTGAATTGAAACGCCAAAGCCACTTTCACAATAAACTTTTATTGTGAAGTCTCAAATTTTTAACGCCCAAACCTCCCATTTCCTTAAATAACAGTATTCCATTTGACGAGGTTGTAAGCCTTCTTTTCCTTGTTCCATCGCCATAAGAAATCCCTTCGAGCCTTGTCAAGCTTATCGGAAATGGATGCGGGAAGGGGAAATAATGACATTGTATATGTGGGTAAAGCATCTAGAACACTGTTGATAAGGGTTACTCTTCCATCCAAAGAAAGATACTGCCTTTTCCAATTGGACAATCTCTTTCCGCATTTTTCCAGAACTCCATCCCAGATGGAAACCGAGGTAGATTTTGTCCCTAGGGGGAGACCTAAATAAGTTGTAGGAAAGGAGCCAATGGAGCATCCTAGAATATCAACAAGGAACTGGATATTCTGAACCTCAATTACTGGGAAAAGCTTACTCTTCGAAAAATTTATGTGAAGACCGGAGATTGCCTCAAAGACCAGTAGAATAACCCTCAGATAAAGTATTTGAGAACTTTCAGCATCACATAATATGAGGGTATCATCCGCAAAAAGGATATGAGATATGCACAAAGAATTAAAAATCCTAACAGATGGAGAAAAACCTCTAATCCATTGTTGAAGTACAGCAGTCCTAATCATATAGTTCAACCCTTCCATGACCAATATGAAAAGGACAGGAGATAAAGAGTCTCCTTGCCTGAGTCCTCTACCATTAACGAGGATGGAAAACTTGACAGTGGAGATGCAAAAAGAAATCCAATTGATCATTTTTGCCCAAAGCCCATATTAGCCAAAAGAGATAAGGGAAAATTCCAGTTCACGTGATCAAAGTCTTTCTCAATGTCAAGTTTGCAGGGGTACCTTGTCTAGATCTAGAGTCTAAACACTCATTGGCTATAAGGGCTGCATCAGTGATCTGTCTCCCCTTAATGAATGCCAATTGGTGAGGAGAGATGAGTTTCCCTATAATCTTCTTTAGCCTAGCTGCCAAGACTTTGGAGAGAATCTTATAAAAGCTACCCACAAGACTGATGGGTCTGAAATCACAAACTTCTTTAGCCCCCACTTTTTTAGGAATGAGAGCAATAAAAGTAGCATTGAGACTCCTAAGGAAATGTTCTTTTTCATGAAAATAATGCAAGGCATTAAGGAAATCATTTCTTATGACGCTCCAGAACTTCTGATAAAAACCCATCGTGAAACCATCTGGCGCTGGTGCTTTATCTCCTTCACATTCTTTCAAGACCGCAAGAATCTCTTCTTCAAGAAAAGGTTGTTGGAGTTCTAAGTTATCTTCCATAGAGATGCGTGGGCAGTCTGGATAAGACCAGGGGAGCTTCGAGGGTTCATCTTCACTATACAAGGATTTGAAAAAAGCCAGAATGTCGTTGTTAATAGATTCTTCATCCGTGACTGACCTACCATTAATAACCAGGTTATCAATGTGGTTTATATCTATGATGAGCATTTGCCATTTTATGAAAGAAACTCGTATTGTTGTCTCCCTGTTTTAACCAGATACTTCTAGACTTTTGTCTCCAAAAGATTTCTTCTTGTTTAGAAATCATCTCCAGCTCCATTTGGTACCCATCTCTTATAGCAAGTTCATCATCAGTGAGACTTCTAACACCAACCACATATGTTCAAACTTGAAAGAAGATTTAGCATTGTTATTCCACTGATTACATTGAAGAAGCAGAGGGGAATGGTCTGAGAAGACCTTGGGGAGTAAAGATTGTTTGGTAACCAAACGATTCATCCCATGCCGAGCAAAATAAAAATCTGTCAATTCTAGATACATTGGAAGAAATGAAACTTCTAACCCACGGGAATTGACCACCCACCAGGGGAGGGTCATGAAGTTCTATTTCTTCAACAAAATCTGAAAAACCAGACATACTAGGAGAGCTACTATGATTGTGTCTATGTTCCGACGGGAATCTAGTGACATTGAAGTCTCCACAAATAACCCAAGGACCCTTTTGTAAACCTCTGGCAGCAGCTAATTCCAGCCAAAGGTCTTGCCTTTCTGCTCTACTGAGCGGGCATAAACGCCCGAGATAACACCGGAAAAACTAGTTAGAACACTGGAGAAAGAGATGGAAACTGAAGAGTAGCCTTTAAGCAGGGAGGTGGCTGACCAAAGTCGTTTGTCCCAAAGAAAAACAATACCCCCTTTCAGTGTTGTCAAAGGCGCGCTTAAAGCGCGCTTAAGCCCTGTAGCCAGGCTCAAAACACGTTGAGCGCTTCGCCTCGCTTTGTGGGCGCTTTAGTGTCGCATCAAAGCTCTAACACATACTTTTCCTTGCCAATGAGTGTAATCCTGAAAAGGCGACCTTAAACAATTGATATTTCACTTTATCCTGAATTTTTTTTTTTTAAATTTCTTTGTCCATATGTTGGTTATTCATGCTTATAATGATTATTCTTGGACTACTGTGCATATTTTTACTTTTTCTCCCGTTGCGCCTTTTTTCATTAAAGCCCACGCTTTATTTGCGCTTTGCGCTTAAAGCCCCAACGGACCTTAGAGCTTTTTTGCGCTTTTCGCCTTTGATAACACTGCCCCCTTTAGTGCCATCTGCTTCCAGCGCCAAAAATTGCACCCAACGGTCAGCCCACAATTTGCGCGCCATTTCGATGTTCCACTGCTCAATTTTTGTTTCTTGAAGGAAAATAATATCAGGCTTCCATATTCTGAATAGGGAATTCAAGTGACCAATTTATCCATGGAGTTAAGTCCATGAACATTCCAGGATAGGATATTGATCTTCATTCGATACAAATCCTGGGGACCGACCTTCCTTTACCACTGCTAACACAACCATCATAATTGATGTGACAAACCAAATTTTTAACCTCATAGCTTCCTCGTTTTCTATTAGAATGTGGAGAAGGAGATGGAGAGAATTTCTTGGGGACGGTCCTGTCCTTCCCAATTTTTGTCAGTGTTGACAAGATTTCCTCCTTTGCTACATCACTTTTGATTCCCAAAATTTTCATAATTCTGGGAGCATTCCTTTTAATCCACACCGTCTGTTCCATCTACCTACTATTCCTTCTACAAAACTACTGCCAAAATTGTAATTTCTCATCATCATTGTATTTTATCAGTGTTAGTCACTAAACTAGTAGTACTTCCCAACTTGTGATGTAGTCATGTCTCTTGTGATCATAATGCAGGAAAGGTCATTGTCACCTGATAGGACTGAAGCCTCTTGAACCACATTTGCAAAATCTTCAGAGAGAGCAAGCGGCTAATGCTCAAATACAGTCGCCAACTATTAACTATCAGCCAGTTACCGGCCTTGCAGCTCATCCCAGGCCAGATTTCCGTTCTGTGCAGAGTGACAAAGTGGGAAGAACCAATTCCAGTAGGGAATTGCCAGCTGTACAACCTATCACAGGGAATGCAACTGTAGGACCTGGTTCTTTCTTTTCTCGGCATTTATTTGAGTTACTTTATCGTCTATGCTGGTTTTGCATGGTTGAGAAGTTAATGTGACTACATTCATGTTCCTAAAGTTATCAAATGTCTGGTTGAATAATGTCAATTTATTATAACAGCACAAAAACGGGGTTGAATGTTTCATTTTTTTTCTTTAATGGAACATTTGCAGGGATCTGTTCAAAAAGATACACAACTAGCCAGTTCAAGTTGCATGTCAATTGATCAGATTTGTGAAGAGAATATCCAACTCTTTAGGAGGTACATGCTTCTTTAAAAATATGCCCTCTTTAAGATACAGCCTCATGGCATATAGTTAACCTTGCATAATTGATTAATCAATGATGAATTTATACACTTAAAAGAGTCATTTGGTACCTCATATAGAATAAGGTGGGTGTATCTCTTCAGATTGGATCGTTGATAACAGGATTCTTGGCCATATTGGATAAGGTGGGATTATATCCACCCAGATTGTATTTCTATTAGGGAATTGTAGGCCAAATTGAAATCTTTGTCCTACGTATGCTATGCTGGAGTAGTCAGATAAAATCTTAGTACAAAAATGACCTTAGATAGTGTTTAGCAATATCATATATTTGTTATCAAAAAGTTGAAGGAAGAGAACAAATTTTAAGCCTTTTGCTACTGTAGAACTCTTCTACATCTGCATTAGTGTGATTTTCGTTTGTGTCCTTCTTTGGCTTGCAATTGCTTTTTTTCTGTTACTAATCTCTCTCTTCTTTTTCTTTTCAATAACTACTTCCTTCTTTTGGTGCGTCTCTTCTTCGTTTGTTAGTTATGCTTTCGGGCTTATCTTCTGGTTCTCTCGTTGCTCATTCTTGTTGACAAAGTGTCACGATGCAAAAAATGAAGGGTCGTGGCCTGGGTTGGCTTACCAGGCAAACCCTGTACCTTGTGCTAAGACAAGCTAAACAGTTATAACCACGAAATATAACAAAACAGCAGAATATGAACGATCTTTGGCCCGCTCTGCCAGTATTGTCAAACCTGGTCAGAAAATACATTGTAGGAGCTGCACATGATTAATCGTTGACAAGTTCTGATGGAAATTAAAGAATCATGATGTGATGTAAAAAGTCATCTCCTTCATTAGAACAGAATAAAAGCCTTCAACATGGTGGGTGGCAGGAAAATCATTGTCTAGCAATCAATGAAGCTTGGAATGGACCATGAAAGAATTGAACTGAAATCCCAATAGAGACAGAAAATGCTAGGTGATTCTTCCCATATATCTAAGCCTTGGTAGACAGAATTGTCTGGCACTTGGTGCAAGGCAACAAGTACCCTGTGGGTTAGTTCAGGTGTGCGTAAGCTGGCATGGATACCACCATTATTTAAAAAAAAAGATTAAGGGTTGCAGCGTAAAGCAATTGAATTTGAGGGGAAGAAGATTCTGCAGAATTCATGCTACTGTTTCCTCTCGAGTTTGTTGATAAATGGATGAGTGACAACCGCATGTTGCTTCTTGTGGCATGAGCCTTCCAATATGAGTACATGATTAATGTTTTGAACCTTTGGATTTGGTTTTGCACTTAAATTTGCCTTGGAGATTTAAAGATATAAGCTTCTCGTCCTTTTGGCCTCCTCGTGTGATCACAAAATGTTTAGCAACTAAACTGATTGGTCCTACCAGTTTAACACTTTGAATCTTTGTTCGACAGGTGTGAGTCATACATCCAAAGGGAAACCGAGTTGAAACGTACAGTATGTAGCACTTCCATGCGGAGCATGTTATTGAACTTAGTCTAGTGATGCCACCTTTTCTATCTAACATATTTGTCTCAATTTTATTCTGTCCGGTTGGATTGACACAGATAGAGGAGCTTGAGAAAGAGTTAGAGGACACTAAAAAGAAATCTGCCGATCTTTCTTCACGCCTGGAAAGTCAGAAAAAGCTTAAACTTCTGAAACAATTTGGGTAGAAGGCATAGCAAAGGGTCTATCCTCTCATGAATTGTATGCATTCGGCTTGATCATGTTGAATTGATAACCGTAGGCTTCTCGGTGCCTCTTCCAGGGAAAATCTTCAACCTTCCATTTCTTTGCCCCCCCCC